AGATTATTGGATCGTTGGGCAACAAAAAAAGGTCAGAAAGGTGAAAGGGATGAGAAGGACAAGATTACTAAGAAAAGGAATAAATGAAAAAGAAGAAAAGTTAATAGGCATAGTTATTGCATTGAAGGATTCTCGAGGTTAGAATAAATTGTGACAAAAAACTCATCCATCCCATGATAAACCCATTCTCCTCTTATTTTGGCATTGTCTAGATTTATTTTTGGCCCTCAACAGACATTAGATTTAACTAGTAAGCAGCTTGGCGATAATCTCTTCTTGTAATGACAAAAGAGACCTAATCATTCAAATAAAAAGCTTTATAGTTGAGTTGACCTCCATTTACTTCTACCATAAAGTTATCAAACATGTTAGAATCATAAGCCATAATAAAAAGGAAAAAATGTAATAAAGAGTTTAAAAGTAAGAAGGTCAAATAAAAGATGGCTAGAAGTATTGAAGGTTAATTAAATCTGGTTAGCTTGAAAGGTGAAAGTCTGTGAAGTGAAACACTGATACCTTAAAAGGCCCCTTATTAGCCAACTTAAAAAATAGATGGACGTCATAAATTAAGCCACATCATCATTACAATTACTCAAAATGACCATTCGCATTCTCAACCTGTATACACTTAATTGCCAAATTTTCTCTTTCATCATTAAATATAGATTTAGATGAATATGTAAAAAAGGTATTTTGATTATTTCAACGTTAATCTTACTATTTAGAATAACATAATACTAGGCTGACCATGCTTCCATGGCATATTTTCCTTAATGAATCAATACAAAAGAAAAATCATAAGTCTCACGTCGACCATCAAGATAATGAGATAATGAGTGAATAGCAAATATCATAAAGTACGATGTCAGTCCCATCAATCAACATCAATAACATCATCACAAGCCTAACCAGTGCTACCCTCATTTGTCACTCACCACTTCGATTAAATAAGGTTAGAATAATGATTGATAAAAAAATTTTTAAAGCCCATATTCAAGTTTTAGTTTGATCTTACTGAGGATAGCTCAGATCAGCCTAGTTCATGATTGTCAATCTAACACTTCAGACTGCCCGATGGAAAGATAGAATGTTAAAGGTATTTTTAGATCCAAATGACAAAATAGAGCTTTTTGCTCATTAGTGTAAACCAATAAACAATTAGGGTTTGGATTTTTTTAATCGAGCTAAGGTGTCAGGCTAACCTGAATTCACGAGTCCATGTTAGCTCGACCACCTCATCACATCCACATGTTAGACCCCTAAAGTGCTAACTTAGCATAAAGTGCTAACCTAGCATGCCTTAAGTTGAAAGTCAACTATCATGTCAACTCGAACCTACCAGGTCACCTCTAACCTTTAAAATTGACCTCAAGCAATCTAGGCTGCCTGCAACACCCATCTTACTGATATAAATGATTTAAAAAATCACATTAAGTTATTTCCAATTGTCAATTGAACCAGGTTCAAGATCCTTGTACGAATTAAAAGTATTACCCTTTAGAGAGCTAATAAATTACTTGACCATAAGATTTCCATCAATGCCAGTTTTGTTGCAAGTTTCCACAAAGTATGCAACATGTTGTCTTGGATTCCATTTGACATCAAACTATAGCAACTTTGGTGGTTGATAATTTTCAAGCATTTTCATGTAATCAATTCTTTGAGTATGAATTAGTATAAGAAGATGGAGCAACACTTTCAACTTGATCTTTGATAGCTTCTTTTATGAGCTCTTTCGCTAAGTTAGAAGAAACTTTTTGAAGCTCTTCTTTAGTTACCTTGGTAGAAATTTCACCAACTTCTTGAAGAATTTGATGTTGGTTTTGGTTTATAGCAACTAGTTTTTTTCACTTAGACTTTCAATTCTTATTACCATTAAAGCAATTTTGCCATCCCTTTCTTTGATACTTATTGATTCCATAGTTTTGTGAAAAATAACTTGTTTTTTTTAAAAAGTTGTGTTAGTTGCCACAATAGCCACCACTTCAAAACTTGTATTTGATGATGAATTTTCACCAAGTGATGGTACAAGAATTTTTTTTCTTGAGAAGACTTGATATTTGGTTTATTTGAAAATTTCATTTAAGTGGCCATTGAAATTTGAAACCTTAGACATAAAAAAAAAAGAGATGAGAGGTAAATATTATCCCATCAAGCATGCCAAAAATTTGTACACACAAATTTTGAGTAAAAAAGAAAGACTAGAAAAATTGGAGTCAAATAAAAATTTTCAATTTGTTAAGAATATATAGTACAATCTCTAAAAAATCTTAAAATAAAAGAAAATCTTCCAATTCTTTTCTTTTTTAAATATTTGCTTCAAAAGTCTTAATAATTTGTTCTTAAATTAAATAAATTTGGATCTTAACTTTAGGGTCATTCTTGAAATTTGGTCCCAAATTCAAGAATTTTTAAATACTTTGATTTTTCATATATTTTCTTTCCCTATTTGTCTTTAGATCTTTTGTCTTCAAGTGGTGGGTCAAATGGCCTAGAGAAGCTCTCTACTTATAGTGCTAGGTGATACTAAATGAAAGAGTTCAAAAAAAAAAAAAAACTTAAGGTCTATTTGGTTTCAGAAAACAAAACATTTTTCATTTTTATTTTTATAAAAGACAAAAAATGAAGGTAAATTTGTGTTTGATAATTAAAGAATAAAAATATATTTTAGGAAACAAAAATGAAAATGTGCCTAATTTTGAAAACAAAAAAGCTATTTTCACTATTTTCAATAAAAATAGTATCCAAAGATGAAAATGATGAAAACTCGATGCTCTGAATTTCGCCAAGGGCCTTATCCACCACTTGAGTTCAACAACAACGAAAAGCAAAAAAAAAAAAAAGACATTCGCGCAAGAAAAGATGGTTTCATTCCATTAAATGTCGATGTTTCTAATATAATTGGACAACATGTTTTTATGCTATAACGATAGATTCAACTGTATATGGCCCACAAATAAACTCTCAACTTTTCTTTTTTCATTTTTTAAACAGAAGATACAATACCAAATATGATTTCATTTTTAAAAATATTTTTCTTTATCATTTGCAAAACACAATTTCAATAAATTAGAAAATAGAAAAATAAAAATTGTTTTTAGAAAAGAAAAACACAAAATGAAAACAAAAAAATACTTTTTAAAACCAAACATTACCTTATCTTCTTTAATTTTATCTCTAAATTGTTTTAATTTAATTCAGCATATCATATATAAGTCATAGGTAGAATTTAATTTGATCAAGTAGTCCTAAAATAAGTTGATAATCTACAATGACAAACAAGAATCAAAACACTCGATAAGTTCATCTTTCTCTTGCTTGATTTCCATTTCTTCTCTTGTTCCTTTTTTTTTTTTTTTTGTTCTCTTGTTCTTCAATTTGTTTGTGCAATTTTTTCTCCCAAAAGATTCCCTCTTAGACTTCACTTTTCCCTAATCTTTAATATATATTTTTTTAATTTATGTAATTTCATGTGGCATATGAGATGACATAATCATATCATGCAGTAAATGGCATCAAACATAGAAAGTAATGTCAGCCAATCTTTAACTTCTAAAGGTTGAATGATGAAAAAATTAAATTTCATTAATATTAGAATCAAATCTTGTTTTTTCATAATTAGATGATTAAAATAAAAATTCACAAAAAATTAAGTGATGAAATGTATAATTTATTAATTTTCTGTATCCATTGATCATTAAAGTTGAAATTTGAGTTGCAAAAAATTTTAAAATTACATTTTTTTCCATAAAAATCATATTATTTAAATATAGGAGTTGTTTTTACCCAAAAAAATTATGAGTTTTAAATTCGTTATAAGTGCATCTCATAGGTCAATAAATTCATTTATATTATAAGTTTTTTAGTTTATCATCAATGCACAAACTTTATACCTCTAATTTTTTATTTGAATTTTATATATCTCAATCTAATAAAAGAAAGAAATTATATACTAGACATAACTATGCAATTATCATTAAGTTTTAATAAACTCATATTGTAATTTATCAAATTCAAATAATCTCTAAATAAAAATCATTCATGTTTTTAATTTTAATTAAAATTTTTTAATCTTAAAATCAATATCATGTATAAACTTTCTTCATGAAAGATTCTTCCATAAGTTGTTAGGGCGAAGAGACACATTAATTGATTTTTGAATAATTTTAAGTATCTTTAAAGGATCAATTGTAATTATTCATATTTAGGAAATCAAAATAAAAAAATAAAGAAAAATTAAGTTTTTTTTTTTCTACTCATTGATAGTTAAAGTTAAAATCGAGATGAAAGAAAAAACTAATATCATTTACTTTCTATTATATTTTTAGCAGGCACAAGTAAAATGATAAGGTTATAAAATACATATGCATAAAATAGGAGATTGAGGTAATGGTCAAATCTACCATTATGGTATCCTCCAACTTTTGACTTAGTTACAAGAGTTCTTAAGGGGACTTAATTTCAAACAAAAACCTCTTTTCCTTTTCCTATCAGCCATATCCATCGTATGTATAAAAAAAAGATATCTACCATTATGTTAAAAGTGGATGTTCCAAATTTATATTTTACTTTTTTTAATGCAATGTTACAACATTATCATAATTTGATGCACTTTTATCTATATTAATTTGAATGAAAAATAAATTGTCATTAAGAATCTTAATTATTCCGCTGGAGTTTGTGAATATGAAAAATAATTAAAAAAAATAATAATACGAAAGAGATATATCAAGTCAATATATATCTTTTTTATTAAAATTATATCATGTAAATACATTATTAAAAAAATAAATCTTTTATTACACATTATATATGATAATTAAATAATAAATATTTATTTTATAACAAATAATTAATTTTTTTAATAATATGATTACATAATATAATTTAAATAAAATGGATGATGTGACGTCTATTTCACTAAATCTTTTTTCAAACAAATAATAATAGAATATTTTCAAGTGCCAACCAGTGAAAATGTAATAATTAATATACTGTTTTCTAAAAAGAAGGTTTATTAATATTGTTAAAAAATAAAAAAACAAAAAGATTTTTTCTTTGTTGCATAAACACACAGGTTTTTTCCTAACAAGTAACTAGTGTTTGGGAAACAACACTACAAAAATACAAGGAAATAAGATTTCATAATAGCATCCTTTCGAAAAGGGTCAGAAAAAGAACTCCCAAGACTACTCTCCTTTCAATATTTGACAATTATGGTCTTAAACTGAATGCAACAAACTTTTTGAATCACCAGTAATTGGATTTTGAGAACCAATAAAGTGGTTGTAAAAATCAGTTGACCACCCTGCAGTTCCTTCTGATCTCCCCACTTGTCCTAGTAAGAGGACTAATGTTTCCCATCCTCACCATGGCCGCAGCAAAATCACTAGAAAAAGTAGAAGGATTGGTGCTATAAGTCCGAACAAGTGCATCCTGTGATCCTCCATTGAAGAGCTCCTGGTCTGAATGAAGCAACCCTCTTTGAGCCACAACGTTACGGAAATAATTGTTGTCGAACCTGGCTGGAGTCTGTATATCCAGAGGAGCCAAATTGTTGTCACTACCAGAAGCAGGGCAGTTAGCCCGTCTGCTGGCTGAAAAATTTGGATCAATGTTGGTGTCATTGTAAATGCGACCGCGAAATGTTGTGCATCTAGCTAGGCCTATTGTGTGACCACCAGATAACGCGGTTAGGTCCCTGGCGTTTAGGCCTTTGGCAGCAAAGGACGAGGTAAGAGCCGCGAGATTGGAGGCTGGTGACGGGATTTGGTTGTTGGCTGCGCTTTGGCTGGCTGTTCTTGCATCTCTCCGCCCGAGGGTTACTTGCCATGAAGGTCCTCCAAGCTGCCACAACATAGTAGCATGCGTCGGAGATATTAATAAATAATCTCCAAGAAAGGAGCGCCACAAATTATTCATCATGCAAAAGTATAGTAGAGAAGATCTTTATGATATGTGATTTGAAAAAAAAATTAATTTAATTAATTCATATAATTATTGTTAAAAGATGATATTCAATAAATCTAAATTTATATTCTAACAATTACAACTTTTTTTCTATCTACATATTATGACCTCCTTTATAAAAAAAAAAAATGATGGAATGGAATTAATAGAGCAACTAAACCAATTATTGCGTAAGCACCAATGGGTTTCCTTTTAAATTGAACTTCTTCTAAAAGTCAATGAATTTAACAAAAAAGGTCGACTTCTTTAATATAAAGCAAAATTGGCAACAATAGCAAACGACTCCTTAATTACACTTGTGAAAACATTAATAAAGCAGGAGGCAAATAGCTGGGTAGCCAGCAGGCTAATCAAAATATACTAACCAGGACTACACCATCTCTAGCTGCAAGTGCTAAGATATCTGCACAAGAAACAGTGGCATTGCATGCAGCTTCAACTCTAGTCTTTATGGTATCAATCACTTCGAAACCTCGAGCTGAGTTTCGGTTTGGCGCTGCATTCTTTTCGCCTGTGAACGTTGCTGTGTCGTCCAGCAATATGGATGCGTCACAACCCTGCATTAACAAAATTATACTATTTTCAAAAATGAAACATACAGATGGAGTAGAATTTGGAATTTTAGATGCATAACTTAAGTTGATGTCATTAACTATATGCAGATATAGTTTCAAAATAACATTAACGGTTGGATTGACATTGTGATATATACATATAATACATATATACATACGTTAACAAAGCAGTCATGGAAGAACAAACGGAGAATAGAGGCGCCAATTCGAGTCTCTCTATTAACAGCCTGGGTCATTGCATTTAGCACGATGGTTTGAAGGTTAGGACAGGAGTTGGCATAGAAGTTGGGAGAAAGCTGAGCATTGGCAGCAGAGCAGGAAAGGAGCACAAGTAGAATACAGGAGAGTGTAAAAATGGACGAGGCCATTATAGAAGAATGAAACCAGAAGCCTAAATAGATAAAATGTGATTGAATAATAATCCCTGTATTCTTAGATCTCTATATATAGGGGAAAGAATTTGCCTTGGATAAGAGATGCAAGGATATGTGCTTTAAGTTTCAAACTTTGCTGCGAACGCGGTTCTAACTTCCACAAGAGAAAAAGCAAGAGATTGCGTACCAATTACAATAGCCGACAAGAGAGTCAAAGCGCATAATCAATGCAGGTTGACTTAGAGCTTAAATCCATTGCCAAAAAAACGATCTATGGATGTTGCTTTTCAACTTTCTAGTTATCTATTACTATCATTCTTTTCGGTGATTGTGGGAAGACTTGATCCAGTCCTCTATGACTTTGAGATTTTTCAACTTTTAGAAATAATTCATCATTTAATTCCGAAATAAAAAATTAAATGAGCTTTAATTATATATACCAAAACATTTTGAACTTGAATATTTCACGATTTGATAAGGTTATATATATATATATATATATATATATATATATGAACTCATCCAAAACATGCTTTAAAGAACAAAATTCAAGTAAAACTTCATATAAGTCTGCAAATTAAAATTTAATCTTCAAATATCGACATTTCCATCAAAAAGAGATGAGCATTAATGGCAATGCAAGCTGGCTGAGCCTCTGATGTTACTGGAAGTCGGGCACGGAGAAATAGCTCATCTCTCAACACCGACGAGCATTTGTGAAGGATATTGGCCGTAGAATTGAAAATTGATCACCTTAGACACGGTCTTCCCGTGTATCAGTTCATATCTGATATTCAGGATTCAAAAGTAAATACATCCACTATAGAAATTGAACATCCCTGTGACATACATTTCGAATGGCCTCTACTGTAGAAATTGTATATTTCGAATCCACTATAGATATTGACCTCTACTATAGAAATTGTATATTTTGAATCCACTATAGAAATTGTGCATCCCTCTTATATATATATATATATATATTAAGAATGACCTCTGAACATCCCTGTGATTTATATTACAAATTATTACAAATTATCCTTAACTAAACTAAAATGTTTAATATGATACTTTAATTTTAAAAATTTTTAATGTGATACATAAACTATAAATATATTAATTAATGTAATACTCTGAAAATTATTTGTTCAACACATATATCATCTAGAGCTAATCGCATTAAAAGTAATTAACATTTTAATTAACAAATTCATAATTCAAATAACCTATTAAAAATTTTGAATGTTCAAGTATCACATTGAACATTTCACTAATCATTCTTAACATTAACCCAATTTTACATGACATCTACATTTATAAGTGATAAATCCCTGCATAATTTTTTATTGCAATTGAATAATTGTACAATTGTAATAGAAAAATTATAGACGAAATACACCCGTGGTTAAATATCTAACCTTAAGAAAGTCTTGTTGCCTGTTCAATTAGTTTATACGATTGAATATGTCGACCCAAAGCTTTAATAAATATACTAGAGTACTTCACTGGGGCTTTCTACCGAATAGAGGTCACAATATTACAGCAGTCCAGCTTCATCTCTAAGCTGTGGTCTGAACGCTACAATACTTGATAGCGGCTCAGCATAAGTTCAGCTAAAAACAACTGCATTTGCTTTTGGTTATTCTCATAAACCTGCCTTGCAGGGATCCTGGGATGTGGGAGACTTAGCACTTTGGAAGCTCGATCAGCTACCAACTGTGGTTGTTGACCTATGAGATTTCACTAGTGGAACAAGTTACTGCACAACATCTGCCATCAATGGCCTGTAGTCAGCCTCGGGTTGCACACACATTGCAGCAATAGCTGCAACCTGAATAACTTCTTTCATTGAGTATCGACTTTCCAGGGCTGGATCCATAATCTGTACAACCTTTTCTCTGTCTGTTAACCTGAGCAAAGCCTGTGCCAAAAAACCAAAAAAAAAAAAAAAAACAGACAAGAACTGAAGAATGAGGAAAGAAGAAGATGCAAGGATTTACCACTAAAGAGGCAGCAAAAAAAGAGAAAAGAACTTAAAACAATTATCAAGGAAAACAGAATGCGTTAAATCTTAAGCAAATAGGATGAACTTAACCATCAGAGAATGACGTACCAGATTGCATGGGATTTAGCTCAAAATGAAAGAAATGAAACTCACCCATGATACTAGGACACCTTCACCAGGAGGCCTCTTTGAATCGACTGGTACTCTGCCAGTTAGCAACTCCAAAAGAACAACACCATAACTAAACACATCTGATTTTGTAGTTAAATGCCCTGTTAAAGCATACCTGCATGGCATGCCTTCCAAATTCAATAACAAAATGAGGCAGTTATAACTTGATAAAGAAACTGTTAAGTATCAAATTAACAACAATTTTCCCTCCAGTTGGGACTAAGAGTTTGTTAGTTCATACTCAGGAGCATCATATCCCTGGGTGCCCAACACTCGAGTTGAAACATGTCCACCTGCTTTGTCAGATCCAAGCTTGGCCAATCCAAAATCAGAAACTTTGGCATGAAAATTTGTCCAAAAGGATGTTACTGCTCTTAAAATCTCTGTGAATCACTGGAGGGCTAACATGTTCATGGAGATATTCCAATCCCTTAGCAGCTTCCACAGCTATTCTCAACCGTGTCTCCCAGTCCAGTTTTAAGGTTACACTGTTAGAACCTGTGTTTTGCAACACAACTAGTAAATCAAATTGTTAACAATACCGTTCTCCTACGTCAATTATTCATTCCAAACTGAGCGAAGCCTAATCTTGTTTCAGGAAAGATGATAATAGATTGGACAACATCATGTTACTCTAATTTAGTTGCAGAGAGAGTGGAAGTCGAGCTTGTACATGATCTTGATTCTTGATTGGTGGAACTGAGATTAGTTATTTGACAAATGAATCCACACACCATTCAAGAGAACACCTAGATAAGCTCTAAAGGACTTCCGAAAATTCAAGTTCATAATTGTAGATTGCTATAATGAGGACTAATGAAATAAAAAAATGCAATTTATAGACGTCAATCTTTCTACACTTACTAAGAGAAAAGATTATATGGTATCCCAATTTTCTTTTAGGGTACCCTTATTCACACTCTACTTTTAGCTTTTGGGACTCCCAAAGTGCATGAACATTTTATCAATTTAAAGAAAGTGGAAAGCAATAACTGCATAACAACACCTTGCTTTCATATTCTTTACGATAAATCATAGATCCAAATAACTGAAAAGCCCAATTAATACCTCATGCACATTGAAATTTAAAAAACAAAAGGTTACTAGCTTACCACTAATGGGATACAAATGTTCTTGCAGACCACCATTTGCCATAAACTCGTAAACCAGTAATTTACGACTACTATCTGAGCAATATCCAATCAAAGCCAGCAAATATGGAGAACGCAGCCAACTCAGCAGTTCCACCTACAATTAGATATGGGCAATCAATTAATATAAACTCTTTATAAAGAATATGTCCTGCCCAATCTAGTCAAGCAAAAGTAGAAGGAAAAATAATGCAAAAGAGAACATATCTTTCGGAACTCCTTTTATAAGTTTTTTTGCCTAGCAGAAATATAAAGAATGAAGTAAACTGAATAATGTACTGTTGCATGGTTAGCTTGGCATATTTCAATTACGGATTATGAAAACAGTAAAAGAGAAATTAGAATGATATTCATAGTGGACCTCCATTTTAAATTCCTCTTCTCCCTGCTTTCCTCCTTGATCCATTAACTTGATGGCAACTTTCCTGCCATTACTAAGCACTCCCCTGTATACCAACCCAAATGCACCATGGCCAACCGCATTAGATTTGCTGAAACCACCAGTGGCTGAATGTAACTGCTTAAAAGAAAAGACGTGAAGCCCTTTATCCAAAGCAACTTCAACATCAGAAGTGCTAGCTTTGTCCTTACAATGAACCACTGCAGACACCAAAATTACAATCCATAAAGTTGCATAAAAAGGAATATAAGGAATTGAAGCATACAACTCAATTAAAGCAACAATTTCACTTTTTTATGATTGCTTACACTTTGTCCCTGCCTTCAAACCATCGTAATTACAAGTCCAAAAAGAACCAAAATAATTATTTTAAATAGGGAATAATACCCAAAAAAATGAAGGGAAAAAAAAAAAAAAACAATGGAATGGAATGGAAGGAAAGAGACTTACTAGTGCTTTGGGATTTAGAGCGCTTAGAGTGGACCTTGTTTCGAATATAACAATAGTAACTAAAAGCTACTAAAAGCGAAGCAACTGCCACTGAAGCAAGCACTACAATGGTTACCAATGCAAAACGCTCTTTCCTCCTGTAATATGAATACCAATACTCATCTTCCTCTCTCTCCATTTCTCTGCCTTCTTTGAAACCCTAGCTGGCTCTGAATATCCCAATAACAAAGAAAATGCCGCTTTGAACTTTGATATTCTCTCTCTCTCTGTCAGTGGCTTCTACTGTTTTCTTCTTCTGCGATGAGGACAGAGGGTTGTTGAATTGAACTGACATCGGTTTTTCTTTCTTTGCGCCTCCACTTAATAATATTTTTCAATTATATTTAGGGTCGTTTGGACCGAATTTGAAAAGTTTTTTCGAAATATTGCTATTAGGTATTTAAACGTTTATGTTTAGTTAGGGGTATCATATTTTTGTAATCTTAAATTTTTAATAATATGCAAAGTTCAGAAATAAAAAATTTACTTTTTTTGTGATTTTTTAAAATTTCAAAAAAAGTTACTTTTATTTTTCATTTGATCTAAATAAAAAATATTATATACTTTTTTTTATCTTTTTAAAAATTAAAGTATGACCAATTTTTTGTTTTCTTTTTTCAAATGACAAAACAAACCCAATAATTATAATGATTTCTTTTCGCAAATTTAAAAAATTAATACAATAAACAAACACATTCAATTATTGTATTATAATAAAAATTAACATTGTACTTGATTATAGTATTTGATTGTAGGTGTTTATTATTGTCAATTGCCTTTTATAATACTCAATTACTATGTTATGATAAAATTAAATACAGTATTTGATTATAGTTGTAGAG